ATAGCTGTGTGTTTTCCCTTCCTTACAATTACACATAATATATCGATAGTGTGTCTCTTCTAAGCCCTTACAGGATCACTGTATTGATTTCCACCTGCCATTAGAATTATTTTTCTCTTCTTTTTACTTTTTTATCTCTCTTCTGGAATTGGCTGTGAGTTTTTTCTTATTTAAATAAGTAAATAAATCCAAACAAATTAAACATTACCAGGTCCTCAACACCTTTTTTTTGTTGCAGGTGGGGGACTAAAAATGGTATAATAAGCACTCAGGAAACTTAGATTGCACTACAAGGAGCATTATTTTAAGTTGTTCTTTGTTAGTCCTAAAATAACATCTCAGAATTTGGACAGAACTGTGAACAAATACAATATGGCTTATAGAACATTTTGTTAATTAAAAACAAACAAAAAAAACCTTCTTTCTTGGGAAGTCCCATTTCTATGCTAATAAGCCTATAGAATGACACTAATACCTCCTGCAAAGATTTCTGTTATAAGTCCTTCCATCAGCAGACGTGCTAATGAATACACGCTCACAGAAACTGAATAAATTATGTTTTGAGGTAACTTTCAATCCTAATTAAATTTGACTGTCAGAGATGTGATTTTTCCTATATCTGCTGTCCTTACCTTGTTAATTTTACTTTATTTTATACTGAAGAGAAAGAAAGCAAACAAAATACATATGTGTGAAGACTAGTGACAAGAAATGAAGGTTAGAGTTCAACTGAGAGTGAAGAGATATAAAAATTGGGGAGAATTGTATTAAACTACATTGAAGCAAAGGCAGTAATTACCACAGCATTTGGTTCCAATAGTTGTCTGCTCTGATTATTCTGTAAAAGATTTTTTTTTTTTTTTTTTATTTTTGCAAAAATGAAACTGGCCAAAAATCTCTGTATGCCATGAAATATGGCTACACACCATCTATCAGACTACTGTACTAAAGTTATTTTTTCCTATTTTTGCATAACACTAGATTGGAAAGATGTTTTCTAGTTGTATAATTGATGGGGTGGAGACAAGATGTAATCAGTTTGGTTTTATTAAGCATGCTTATTTCTCACAACCAAAACACATCAGGAGCACTGCTGTTGCCCTGCTTAAGCAGCCCTAGGAGAATATATATTCTCATTTTCTGCTTTCAAGGCAGGCTCCATTACAGTCCATTTTGAAGATCATCTTAAAGAAGGTCTCTGTAGCACAGAAACTAGCAAGGTTGTAAGCACTGTTCCACTTTTAATTTCAGATCCAGTTTCACAAACAATCTCCAAATAAAGTGCTTAATCTGCACGTCCATCTTGGTGTTTACTTCAGCATTACTTTTGACACTGTACTCTTAGTTATGACAGTCTCATCTACTTATGTTTGTTTCTGGTTCAGGAATAACATCTGCAGTTCATTCCCTGGATAGCAAAAGCACTTAAAAATGGCTGTTCTGAAATGATAAATTTGAGTTAGGCATATTTGCAGATTCCTCAGACAAGTAAGTAGGAACAGCCTCCAATTCATAATATCTGGGATGGTCATTGTGCATTACAACACTGTCCAGGTTATTTAGATTTCTGGAGTCTCTATCTAAACACCTGCCAGACTGAAGGAAAAATGAAAACAAAAGGTATGTGAAGATAAAATGATTGCATAGCTTGGAAGTACCACATGTATTGCTCCATCTGAATTGAATCAAAGGACAAGAAAATTCTTCTATGCTCTTGCACTAAGATCTTCAGCAAGTCGCCTGTCAACCACATACTCTTCCACACAGCAGAGCTTAATTCATATTTGAGGTGTATAAAGATCTAGATGCTTGTTACACTTTAAACTTGTTATATATTCTATCTATGTTAATAATACTGTGTTGCTACTATCTATGGGAGGAACTCCTCTTTTTTTTTTTTAAATGAGAAATGTTAAGGTTTCCCAATATTCGGAGTGTTATAAAATGTTTAATTACATTGAATTTCCATCCTGTCCATGGTAATGAAGGTTTGTTGCTGCTTTCTGTATATGTCTAAATTTTATACCTGTTTCTTAAAAGACTACACAAAATGAGGTTAATTATTTAAAGACTGAGGTTTATTGTTGTGTACTAGAACAGTACATCAAAAAAATAAGCTCATGGTGTCATTTCAATTTTTGGCTTCATCAGGGAATCACGTTCATTATCCTAACATTTCAAATTCATCATGTAGTTACGCAAAACTTAGATCTGTTATTTACGTACAACGCAGTCATAGGTCCTGGTCACTCTGTGCAATTAATTTGCAGTGGATGAAACGTGTAGAAATTTATACATTAACTTCAGTATTTCTGAATATTCCATTGCTCTCAATGGAATTGTGGCAAGCCATTTTGAAGACCTCATGTTAAAAGAATCAAGAGCTGTTAAGTTTTTATTTGTCCAAAAGTAAAGTATTGGCGTGTAGCACTCTCGTTCATCTGGTATTGAAAAGCAAAGTATTCATAAACTTCATGAGGGGAATAATTAACTGTGACGTATAAACAAGTGCATCACATACCTTAGGCAGATAGGAAAGTGAAACAATGTATGGCCACTGCCTGCTCTAAAGACTGAGGCCTCTGGTGGACCACAGATTCAGGTAGCTTTCCTGAAGCCTGAGCACCACGGAAGTGGCATGGGATATTACTCATGGAACTGCACATCACTGGAATGAAGGAAGAGTAAAATACTGGAAGAAGGCAACAATTACAGAAAAATTTGTCAGTAGAGCAACTGTGGGAAAGAAAGTAATTAAGAACTCATGGCAGTGCCAAATATGTGGAGAATTAGAAGAGTGAACAATGATACTGAGTCATTTTGATGATTTGTTATGTGTATATATGCAGAACATCATAGGCTATCCTATAAATAGTAATTGCATCAAAAATGCCCATCATGAACACCTCATGAGCATGTCACTTTAACTTTATATGGTTGTGCAGCTATTTTAATACTTTGATATAACCATCTTTTATGTGAATGAGGAGTCCATGTAAGAGAGATGCAGTCTTTAAAGATTCCATTTATGTTGTTCTAATTATTCCTTTGGAATTTTGAAGTGCTGAATAGCTTTAGTAACTAGAATCACTGAGAATATTAAAGCTAGTATCACATTAGTGATATTAGTATCACATTGTTTTTTCATATGTGGCTCCAAATTAGCATAAAATGCCTAATAAGTATATTTAACTTCTAGAAATTCAGTGGCTATAACTTATTGCAGGCCAAACTGTAGTTTTTCTTTATTTTTACTCATTGAACTTGTAAGTTAATCTTCAGTAAATACAACCCAAGTGAACTGTTGAACAATCTAAAGTAGCTCCACACAAATGAAGGGCATTATAATCACCTTCATCAATGGTCTCTGGAGGATTGGAGGCCACTTAACATGGCAGCCAGCTATGCAGATAGCCATGAGAAATAGAAATTTTTGTAAACCTTTTATGTAGCATTTTCATTTGTGGAATAAAATTACAACATGAAGATAACAGTATTCTGGCAACTGGCACATTATCAATTACAATAACTACTGAACCAGATTTAATTATAAACATGGGAAACAATTTTAGAGTTAATCAATAGAAAAAAAACTGTATACTTATTATTGTAAAGGAGACTACCTTTAAAAATATAAACATACAAAGGAAAAAGTGCATAAAGCTGAAGTTATCTTTGATTTCAGCTCTATTTTAGTGAAAAAATGAAAAACAAACAAAAAATGGTTACATTTACACATTACTGAGAATAACTAGGTACTATATTCAGAAAAAGCCTGGTGGCTAAGCTGAGAAACTAAACAGCCACTTAAAAGCATTTTCTTTATACTGTTGTTACTGTTCAGAAAATGCGAAAGACCGTTTGCCCCTTGTTGGATATGTAAAGCTGAATGCATGTTTTCAAACGTTATTTGAGTCAAACCTAAATGGAGTCCATCACACATCTTCTATTTTACCCTTAGCATTAAACAAAACAATCCTGAGAAGAATACAAACAAATTAATTTGTAACAGATGGAATGGAAGTAGTTTTTTGGCAAGCTCAAAGTTACCACGTCATCATTGTACAGTCTTTGACCCTCTCAAATTTCTGTGATGTTTGTGATTTAAAACTTTCCTAGATAAGAGTCAGTTTTATAAATAGCATTTAACACCTATATTAGATTTTATCATGGAAAATTGGTGACTGATTGTACCACAAAAGCTTCTCATGAGCTTGCAATTTCAACTTTGCAACTGCTGATCACTTCTTTTTAATGATTCTTAGTGTTGGCCATTCATGAGGAGTTCGTTTCAATTACTTAAACTCAATTCAGTTAAAATGTAATGTAATTAGTAAAGAGAGATACTGCCAGGTAATTGGGTTCCAGATAGGAAAAAAATTGAAGGTTCAACAAATGTTTGTCTTCAAAAGGAAGTTGAGAATGTATCTGTGGAATGTAAAGATCTTTATTTCTGTTGTTCTGTAATTCCTTGAGCACACTTTGTCTAGAAGCAGTCCAGAAAGTCATTTGCTGAACTACTTGGAAAGAACTAGCATAATTGGAGAGCAAATACTCAGAACAAATTACATTTTTCAAAAAGTTTGTTGTATTCATCTGGATCTAAGATGCTTATATACAAAGTGATGCTTTCCAACTGAGTCACTGAGCTCACACGCTTCCAGGTGCCTTTCAATTCAGCTAAAAAATAACTACATCATACAGGATTCTCTCTTTTCCTCCCTGTTCTCCTTGGCATTGTCTGTATTGTTTTCTTTTGTTTGTTTAAAGCAGATTTTTACTACATCAGCTCTAACTATTAAGTTATATTCTGAGAGTGTTACTGATCGGTCAAGTCAGTTAAGCTCTTTTTAGCTCTGAAGCCTAAGAGATTTAGGTTCCATTTCAGGAAAGCTGGATGTCATTCTGAGACCAATTTCTTGGATCACAGCAGTAAAAGAAAGCAAATGATTATTTGTTATTTTTGGTCTATTTTATTTCAGAACCGCTGTGTTAGACAAAGAATTATCTTCCTTCTTATGTTGCAATCAGTCCTGAGAACTGCAGCTCCTCAGTAACATTCCTGCCCTCTGACTCATAGCAGATGTAAGCCTCAGCACTACAGAATTTAATAGCAAAAACAATCGCAGTCTGGGAAGGGGTCTGGAATTCTTTGCATCAGCTTAAGAAGATTTAACAGCTTTGAGTTCTTTCCAGAGGATAAAGGTAAATATTTTAGTTACCTGTGGGGGAGGAAGAAAGAATTTAGCATAATTTGGATAGCTATGGACTAAAAGTAGTTTATTTGTAAAGGCCATATGACATCGTACCACGTTGCTAACAATGAATGTGTTGCTTCAGTAGTATCTAGCTAATTTGCTGTGCTATCTAGTTAGTTTGTTAGTAAACTTCATATTCAAATTTGTAGTTCATTAGATTATAATAATGCATAGCTCTTGAATAAGGGTTGCTTTCCAGGCCTAGAAATGGATAAAATCATGTATGAGTGTCCATTTTTCAGATAAGGAAATGGGCTCAATTTTTGTGCCCAATGTGCTAACAAAGCACAGTTTGTACGTGATCATTTAGATAGGTTTGAAATCAGTAGATGTGCTTTTGGCAGACAGATTCTCATGTTTGCTGTAAAGAAAGCCCAGGCACAGAAATGCAGGAATCTTTAGAGGTACTTTTCCATAACTTTAATTTCGCAGAAAGAAAGTTAATATTATAAATTAATAACTTAATTATAGGAGAAATCTTTCCATATCATCATAACAGTACATATCCAGGTGTAATCTTAAACTATACATATAATTTGATACAAATAAAACTGTGAAGTTTCACAAGACTTGCCCTTAAACCTCCCCTTTACTAATACAGAAAGCAGCTATTAAGGGCTTGTGCTTTTAACTCAAAAACATTTCAGTAAGATCCAGCATTCTGTTATGTGTGCTAATTAAGCCTCATGTCTATTATCTGAGATGTTTTTCATAGCAACGAGCATCTCCAGCACAAGTTACTTTTATTTATTTGAACTGGCAAACACTGGTTTTATAAAACAAACAGGTTTTAGAACAAAAGCTTTGAATACCTCAGCAAAAGCTGTCTCCTTAGACTTAGCCAACATCAGCAACACAAAAAAAACCTAAGTATGCACTTGCTTTCATCTGAGACATGGATTAAGATTTGGGTGTTCTTGCAAAAAGAACAACACTCCTTAATATTTTTAATGTATTGTTTTCCATTTTCTGTGGTGGGGTCATTTCTGGGTTTTTTTTTCCCCTTTCTTTCTTTATTTGTTTCTTGGAGATCTATTCTCCAAGTGAATGACACGACAGATCTCACAACTCTTCTCTCTTCCACAGTTTAGAAAACAAAGTAAAGCATTAATTTTGTACTGTTTTGTTGTAAGAATGAAAATATTTGACCTTATGACCTTCAGTTTCCTTTCCATTCTTTGATGCTTTATGTAGTCAGAGAGTAAAACTCTCCCTAGAACACTTACAATTAATGAAATGACAGCTGAAATACAACTTATAAAATAAATTTGAGGTGATTTAAAGCATGATTTTCACAGGTTGATTATAGGGTATCAACTAAACATCTTGCATATAACAAAATGTTCATTATTGAGTGGCATTTCCCAAAGCTAGCCCAAAAGTTTGGTATTATGTGCTGTGTCAGAGCAGGCCATGAAATCCCACTCACCCTATATTTATGTCCATGTTTGTCTCTGTATCTGTCCAGAGGAGGGAATGGGAGAGACACACAGAGACCCTATGAATACAAGATTTGATATGACATACTTAACCTGATATGGAGTAGGGGCTGAGATCATCAAATACAGGTCATTTGTAGCCTGCTCAGACAGGTAGCATGCTGTTTGGTCACTACTCTACCACAACAGACAGCGTCATTGCAATAAACGGCAACAGCTGCATTGCCATAATCACTGCAGTCATAATTCATGAAAAGGCATGTTTTATTAAAAAAAAACACTCTGAAATCCAAATTAACAACAGAAGTCAATACCAGACAGTTCTTGTGAATTCATCTCACCAGAAAAAAAAATCCCTCATCTGATCACTTGAATCAGTTCAAATAATTAATTTAAAATTGTTTTGTGTATAGTCTATGCAAATAGAACTTGGTCATCTGTGAATTGAAAGATAATCTACATTCTGGAAATTTTTCAAGTTATACCAGCTAATGCTTGTAAAGCAGTCAGATACAATGGTGTTTGTCATCATATAAAATTATCTTCATATGAAGCAGTAGGATTTCAAATTGAATAGGTCATACAATACAAAGTATACATAGCTGTCAGTTGACAGATGTGATCCTTGTCACCATTAGACTAAAAGCTGCTGACTATTACATTTTATCCAGAAATTACTCTGTGATAGAAAAATTACTTCCATCCTTTCCTGGCACACAAGTTGCACAAGAGATTTTCCTTACTTCAAGGATAACTAATTAAATTCATATTCTTATTACTTAAATGTAAGAGAGGCTTTCATCCTAATTTTAGAAAACCAACAAGGAATACTGTCCTGCTTTTTAGAGTATTTTAAAGGGCTATTTTTTGTTTCTATTTCACAGCAATTTGTGTCTCTTTGTAACCTTCAACAATAGTCCTGAAATTAGCAGAAACCTCTAAAACATAATAGCCTGAAAGAATAGCTTTTATTTCATTTTAAGTTGTGTTTGATTGCACTATTTACACACTACAAAAGCATAAACATCCTGTACTCATAAAATATAGGGATATAGGGATATAATTACAGGTTAATTAGATTATTTCTAATAATATTTGAAGATACATAAAAAGTGTAAATATTTAGCTTTAATACTTACATTAATTACTGTTTCCTTTCATCCTCTACTTCACAGCTTTGAAAGAATGAAGATTTTGATAGTGATTGATTTTCTCCTTGCAGTTAGCTTGACAGCTGCCACTAGAAGCTCTGTAAGTTATATTCACTGTGTTTAGGCTTCCTTCTAGATACTTCATACCTTATTCTCTGTAGTTCTTAGAAAACACCTCAACTAGATTTGATAGCCAACTCTTTGATTTAAAAGATAATACAAGACAAACCTGAAGAACTGGGGGGGATAACCTCAGCATTCAGTGGAGACAAGTTTTCGATACAAAAAGCAAAAATGGGCACATAAATATACAACAGGGTATAAGTAATTAGATAAGAGCATATATTCAAATAAAGTAATTTAGTTTGTTACTGAAACTAGTATGAAAAAGAAGACAGTGGAATTGCTTCACTCCAGAGGTATGTATTAGTACAGAAGCTGTAAGAAAATGCACTGAAGGCAGTTGCTCCATCTAGTAATAAAGGTAACTCAAAGTAACACCTTCAGTTTTAAGCATTACACCTACAGACAAGCAATACTCAGAAATTGCTGGTATATAATGAGGTTGGTAACTACAGAAGTAGCCTACTGATACAAAGAATAAATGTTTCTGTTACTTTTTATCTGATTGATTAGCCATACAACTTCTCATCTAAAAAGATCCACAGCTTTCCTTTGTTCCCATACTTGCATTATAATTTGCACTAAAAAACAATGATTGTGGTTCCTTTATCTCTTGAAGCCTTTTATGCCTTCTTCTACCTCACCAACAGAAATACTGAAACACGCTCATTACACCAAAACACTTGTTGTCTCACTGTAATGCTATAATGTGATAGAAAGTACAATGATAATAGCAGAGTAACAAAACCCTTGGCTACAACAAATAAAAACAAACCCAAATATAACAACAAAGCAGATAGATAGATAGATAGATAGATAGATAAATAAATAAATAACCAACCAACCAACCGCTTACCTTCAGATGACCTCAGAAAAGCAATAATCCCCAGCAAGACTCCCTTACCTCCTCTGCTAACCTTTAAATGAGGTCTGGGAAGAGGTGGATCCTGACTCCACCCCTTCCTGTCACTCAGGTATATTGCATGCACCTGAGCTCCCCTAGGTTGGTCCTGTCCTCCCACCAGGTGCTCAATCATTATTTTGAGCCATGACTTAGCATTTCTGCTACAGTCACTAATCCTATATCAGTTTTGGATGTCCTTCCTACTTTGATATTAAGATCCCAACAGTCAGAGACCTTGCAGATTGAATTGTTGATTCAAAATTATCGGTGTAATTACTGAACTTAGAACTTGGTGAGCATAATTTCTTGTGGCATATTTTAGCAGAAATACAAAGTCACAGCTGGAAAGAGTGATTGAGCACCTGGTGGGAGGGCAGGACCAACTTAGGGGAGCTCAGGTGCATGCAATATACCTGAGTGACAGGAAGGGGTGGAGTCAAGATCCACCTCTTCCCAGACCTCATTTAAGGGTTGGCAGTAGAGGCATAAATATCTTGTTGGTATTCCTTATCTATCTAGGGCCTTCTAAGGGTAAGTTGTCTGTTTTTGCTGTATTTGGGCTCATCCTTACTTGTTGTAATTGGTGACTTTGTTACACCATTATTGTTGCTGTGCTTTCCATTATGTTACAGTGCTTTATTTACTCTGTCTTGTGGAAGCATTTTACTTGCCTATCTGCTTTTAAAATAGGGAGTATTTGCTTCTGTAATTGTCTTTGTCTATAAAATGAAGAAATCTGCTGGATTTTAATAGGTGATTACTGAGGAAAAGGCATTGCTATGAAGTAGGCTTTCTTTCTTTTGATATTTCAGTTAAAATGTTATAGGTAGCCATTGATAGTAAGAATTGAGAATGTTCCAAAACTATCTCTAAAATTTTGTATTCTAGCATCATTTGAGATTTTTCTTCTAAGTTCATTTATAGTCTAAAGATAGAGGACAAGAATGCTTCAAATTAAGTTTGTGTGTATTCATGGTTTTTATAAGTTATTCTGTTCTATGCTATTAGCTTTAATGAGAAGACTGTAGCTGCTAAGTATGTCTTGCAACTATGGCATAAAATGAAGATTGTGATTATACAGTAATAGTTTAAATATGGGACTGCATGTCCCCAAGCAGAGCTGTCAGTAATTGTTAAGTAATTGCTTCTCAACATGTAGTGCAAACAGTTACTTCACTGAAACAGAGCAATTTATCTTCAGTTTATTTTCATACTGTAGGCTCTACTGTCTGCTGGAGACAGTCACAATTGAATTCCAATTTTTAAAATATTTCACTGCTATAACAGTTTTAATTTAATTCATATCAATCAAAAGCAACAGCAGCAAGTTACAGCCTGTTAAGGTGTTTTATAGTGGTCCATGAGGCAGTACGCTGGAGGTAGATTCTGAAAGATTTTAAAGGGAGTACTTTTGAATAAGATGGGCCTCCAGGGATTTTAGGTAGCTAGATGATTTTTATAATTCCTTCCAAAAACAGTCACTTACTAAATTGTGCCTCTCACTTTATAACTTCTCCTTGTGGTTAAACACTTTAATGGCTTCTCAGGATTACAGCAGCAGGCAGTTGGAGCCTGCAGACAAGTTTGCTGTCAAAGCTGGTTAGTATGGGCAGCTCAGCTGCAGAGAGGTAGCTGTGCTGCCCCATTCTGCCACCTGTATATACCCTCTTCTTTTATTCTACTGTATGTATTAGTTTGCAGTTTAGCAAGCATGTGATAATCTGCAGCAGTACTTAGAGCAGAGGCCTATACTCAACATCATTTTGTCTAGTCAGCATGCGAGGTCAACACACTTTTTCTATGAGACTGAATATTACAGTCAAGTGGACCAAAATGGTTTTGAACCATTTTAATAAAACCATGGACGTAAATACTTTCAGCTTAAATACTTTATTGAAACTTACCACAGAATCACCAAAGTTGGAGGAGTCCTTCAAGATCATCCAGTCCAACCATCCACCTATCACCAACAGTACTCACTAAACCATGCTTCTCAACACAAAATCCAAATGTTTCTTGAATGCCTCCAGGGTCAGTGACTCCATCACCTCCCTGGTATTAACTATCCACCTCCTGATGTTAACTTACCAAGCTAATTTCTTAAGTTGAAAGTGAACTGCATTCTAGTATTCAAAAAACAAATTATCTTGCTTGTCAGCAACACATTGTCAGAAATAACATCATAATAGTGACAGTTTGAGCACATGTTTCATGGCAGTAATAGAAGTTCCCCTGATTTTTAACTAGTGCTACAAATAAATAATGAGAAAATTCCACATGAATTAAAAATAAAATGCAGTTTCTTATCAATACTGTTAGCTAATTCAGAGTCTATTCTTGAAGTTGTAGAGAACTACTAATGTTGCTACAGGGAAATATCCAACCAGAACCATGTTTCTGCTGCATAGAAATGTGCAGAGCTGTATTAGACAGAAGGAAAAAAAAATCACTGCAGCAAGAAAGTGACAAAAACATTGGTGGTAGTGTTTGTGAAAAACAAATGAAGCCTGAGCATGATGGCAATATACTGATGCTGGTGGATATAAGTATGCTACTTCAGATTTACCTATTCCTTAAGTGTGATATGGCAGAGTTGTAACATAATGTAATCTTCCATATGGATGGCAGTTGTTACAGACCACATTGGCTCATGTGATTAGAAGGTACGATCATATCACAACTGCAGCATCCTCCCTACTCTTGCATGGCAAAATTATGTGCACAAGTCACAGCACAATACTGGCTTTAAGCTGTTATTTTTCATGTGTATATTTGTAGTTTCTTAGGGGCTATTTATTTTGGCAAGACGAAAGTGCTCTAAATTTTACAATACTTAGTCTTATTGTTCTTACTGTTCCTACAATCTTATCATTCTTATCATAACAAGTATGTGACATAAAAGCATTTAAAAATTTATTTAAAAATTTAACGTTTAAAAATAAAAATGAACAATAAAGTTGAAAAAAGTATAGATGTGAATTTATTTAAAACTGTGAATTTTAGAATCTTAATGTTAGCAGCATTTTTTTGTGGATAGTAAATACCTGTAGATGATAAGTTGGCAGGAAGTAAGTGATCATTACGATAGGTTCAGGTGTGTAGTATGCTGAGTCCCATCTGCATGTTTACCAGTGAGAACTGGTAGCAGAATCACTAAAGTGAAGTTGTCTGTGGCTGCACACTCTAGAATACCAAATCACTTGAAATAGAGGTAACAGTTGGGGTGGAAATCAACATAGGGTCTGTAGGGAATTGTTGAAAAATACTTTGTTCATATTAGACTTTATTTTCTTTTTCACATGTTAGACTCAACAAAAAATAACTTTTTAAAATAAAATGCTTTCCTTTCTAGGATCTACAGAACTGTTTTCAAGAGCAGCTACAACTTCAGGCCCAGGTGAGACTTCTGGAACATCGTGTGAAACAGCAGCAGTTAAAAATTACACAGCTTTTAGAGAAGAAAAAGATACAGTACAGTGACAGAGGAGATGAAAACAGTGTCATTGACTTGGGAGGAAAAAGACAGTATTCAGGTTAGAAATGAAGCTATTCATTTCTGTTCACTGTAGTGATACCCAGAAGCTTTAGCACAATCAGATCCATTGATGTATTGTCTTACAACTCACAGAAAATTGTTTGTTTAAAGCACAGCGTTTATCTCTTACTTAGGCCTGCTGTCCTGGGGAAAATATCTCCATCTCACAATATAAATGAAATCAGGATTGAAGAGGTTTATTAATTTATTAATAGTGCATAATTAAAAAATGATCATTGAGCAGTACAATTAGAATCATTATCAGCAGTGAAACAGAAAAAGGCAATAAGAAGGCATTTACAGAAGTTAGTAAACTATTACAGATTTTTAAACATCCCTTAACTTATCTCAAGAAGTTCTAACACACAGGATTTAGAACCGTTGCTCTATCTCAGTTCACATTTATACGTTCTCAGTGCCCCAGGCACACACTTGCTCTTGCAGAGGTGGGTTATTCACAACTGCTCTGGAAGTGCAGATTCCCCAGTTCACACACACCTCATGGAGATGGGAATCTGAGTGCAATGGTCTGTGTAACCATCTTGCAGCCTGCGATCTGCTAATCCATGTTTCAGTGATAAAATCTCCTAGAAGTTCACATACAAACATTTGAGGTCTAAGATCCTGCTTATTGTACCCCATGTTATCAATCCAGTAGCTTGCAGACAGGATTTTTGCGGCGTTCACAGGGAAGGATTAGGTCTGGAGGTAGGTCTTGATCTTGACAGAGCAACTATTGGAAGTGTGAGATCTGGCTTAACTGGTTAGTTGTCTAGGTCTCTTATCCTCATCTGTACACATTCACACATTTCAAGCTGACTCATTTTTCTCAAAAATAACCTGGTAGTTTCCTGGTTGTTTAATGAGCTTTATTGTCATTTTCAGAAAATATCAGTACTTGCAATTTACTATTTAGCATTATCTGTTTAGAGGCAATAATTGTGTGTGAGTACAATATTTTTCAGAGACAGTGTACACTCACATCTCTATTGTGTCAGCTGTTGTTACCTTCTTTATGTTACCAAGACAGAGTTGTACAAACACCTTTCATCTATGATAACACAGAAGGCTGTACTTGCTACAAAGAGCTATACCTTTAAAGTGGCCTAGAAAATCCACATTTTGATTTCTATTTTGTTGAAATGAAATACGATGAAATTAGATTACACAGGAGGTGTTATATATGACCTACTCATATGGTTGGTTTTTGGATAGATTTTAAGATGATTTTTTTGACAAGATAGTCCCAAAAGCTTAGCTATCTTAAAGTCCTTTCTTTCTCAGCTGCAAGTAGTAGTCATTTTGAAGTTAATGCTTCTCTCAGTATGAAAGAGAATTCTCATTTAAAGGACTACTGTAAATAAAAAGCAATACCTAACCATAAGATACAATTCTATTGTTATCTACAATAGTAATAGTTCTGGTGGCCCATTCCCCATAAAATAAAACCAATTGCAGATGATGCTGGTTACTGGGACAACTTAGTTTCTGTGGTTTAGCACTATGAAAAGAACTGTCTTCTGTTAGGAAAGCACAAATCATGCTGAAGAATTGTAAGTACAGCACCACTGGAGTTTTCAAGCTTTCAAGCATTCCTATTTAAGAATGCTTAGATGAATTCTTAGAATTATTAGAATTCTTAATTCGTAATTATCTGTTGTATGTGGTAAAATCATTGTTGTAGTGTAGAATATACTAGGCCTAGTAACTCCTATAATTAGCTTCAGAATAATTTCCATTAATATAGACAAGGCAGATGGAAAAAAATTATTTGGAAAGCCTTGGGGGAAGGAGATAAAGTGCTACTACCCTAAATCTACAGAGATCTTCCAACAGCACATCTTAAAGCTTGATGTGGCTAAACATTTGTAGAAGATGCTTAGTGTGCACTTACTAATCCTTCCACCTTTAAGATGCATAACTGTCAATGCTAACGATGTATGACAGCCTTGCATAAAATAGCTAATAGTACAAGGAATATTAAAATATCCTTTGTTGTGTTATCAGTAAAGATGCTCTGTTGTAATATTACTCCTACTTTAATATTAAAGCACAGTGTTTTGTGACTTTTAGCCTTGAATGAATGTTCGAATCTTGCTTGAGAGCTGAAAGCTTGATTCCACTTGCAGAGTAATTTAAATAAAAATATTTTTGAAATTAATTGAAATATAATTGGAATAAAGAAATAAGAGACTTTAGTCTTTCTAGACTAGTTAGAGACTAGTTAATTGTATGAGAGAGCAATACTTCAGCATATATTAAGTCCTACATATTCTGCTAATTAAGTATCTTGTTTAGAAACAAGATGTCTTTGCAGAATAGGAAAGATAATGAGAAGGATGGGCACGTGGTCATTAGTTTAATTAGTTTAGTTAAATAGAAGATGCTCAACATCTAAGACCAAATTCAGGAAGGCATGTACAGTGTTCTTGCACAATATGGTACATGAGATACGTAGGTATATGTTATGGTGTGTATATATATATATATATATATATATATATATATATAGGTATATGAGTTCTAACCTGTGAAGTCCTGAAAGCATCCATGTGAGCTTGCTATGATGGTGTCTGGACCTCACCTTAATTATATTCTTCATGTTGCAATAGTGACTGACTTAAATTCAGCTCAAGACATCACTGTTTCTGGAGGTGTAAAGTCCAGGTTTTAAGTTGGCTTTGTATCCTCAACAGCGTTTTGATGGTGATTGGGTCTCTCTACAGTGGAAGAAAGCAAAGTGTGTTAACTTGTCATAGATGGAGTAAGGCTTAAACTCTTCTAAAATATTTTTTTAAAAATCCAAACGATAATAGGATTGTAAGTAGACTCTGGGGGTCTGATTCTTGGTTAGTGTTGGTTTCTAGTTGTCCTGTGCTGAAGAGTCTAAACTTCTAAGATATTCAATACATGGGTTTGAATATAATTGTAGTGTTTTTGCTTCTGGAAGAAAATACAGCATATAAGAAAGCATGTAATAAAGCACTACTGAAGTAAAATTAACAGCTGTTGTAAGTCTGACTTCAAATTTTATCTCTATTTTTAATTACTATTCAGCATCCTGGAAGACACTTTTATTATGACTGACTTCTTTGTTACTGGGAAAAAAAAAAATATATTAAAAACACATTTAGCTAAAAGGTTTTTGTCCTTTCTTAAGTGTATTCTTCAATTTTCTTTAAATTGATTCTGGATAACAGATCTAAGTTATTTCTGGTTTCTGTTGATTATTTTTTTTCACTTTCCTAATAGCTTGGTAAATGCTTTCCCTTGTTGATACTGCATTATTTCATTCAGGCTGCTGTTACATTTTATAGGTCAATAAATCTGGATAATTTGGAGCTATACAGTGAGGGAAGAATTCCACAGTAAATACACTTGCTTAAAATTAAAATACACCTAAGTATTTTGCTTACCTACTGAGAAAATAATGGATGCAAGAGAAGTTATTTTCTGTAATCCACTCAAAACATTTCTGCAGAGACATCTTAGTTGTCATATTTAAAATATTTTAAATATTTTTTAGTATAATTTGTCCAAATCCTGGCATAGCTATTTGTTTTCATTACAAGTTCTTAATATTTTCTATGTCTAGTCTTCATTGATGCTTTCACTGAGAAGAAATGTTGTAGTTCATGAAGTTCCAAACTAGCTTGCAAGTTCAGCCAACATGTTCTTAAAGAATTCAGGGAAAAATCTTACAGTTAATCAGTTTCATTTCTGCCAGGAAAAACAGTAATGTTGAAAACTATACTGCTTTCCTGTGTGACTGCTTGATGGTAGATTACATATAAACAAATAACTGCTTTCATTTCTAAACTCCTTGAGGAAAAAGAGATAAGATGGTATGATTGCAGTACTGTTATATTTTCATGACCTCTGAAATGCTGATTTACATGGTGATTAGTCCTTGAAACCATTGCAGACCAGACTGAAAAATGGTATGAAGCCAAATTTAACATTTTAGACATACATAACACTTTTTGTGGGGTAGACTTCTGTGTATATTTGGACCTGTGTGGTACAAGGGACAACAGTATTAGGTCCAGTAATTGTTTACTTTCTAACACTGGTAATTCCATACTGTCATATTTGGCAATTCTCCTGTGCTTCTACATCCAAATCTTTGTTTCTGAAGATTGCATATCTTATACATAGGAGAATTATGATTGTAACAGGATTCCAGTGTGGATTACACCATTGTAAATTAAAATGGCACCACCTAACCCAAAGGAATTGAAGCCATAAAAATGTATTTGTGAGGTATTTGCTTTCTATTAGCTTTTTTCATATGTGCCTCTTACTTGATATGACTTGATTTCCCTTATTGACTTTTCTGTTTTGCTAGTAAGTATAGAACTAAACACTGTATTCAATGGATGTTTTGTGAACAGACTGTGCAGAAATCTACAGTGATGGCCACAAGCAAAGTGGATTTTACAAGATGAAACCTACCCACAGTCCTAATGAATTCCTGGCCTTCTGTGACATGTCTGAAGGGGGTGGTTGGACTGTTTTTCAGAGACGTTCTGATGGCAGCCAGAATTTCAATAGGTAGGTACTAGACTTGGTCATTAAAATTGGAAACAAACTGGAGAAACAATAAACCAGAAGGAGGTAAGTTATTGATTAACTTCAGAATTATATGGATAAACTATCTCAGATAAAAAGGAAAAATAGTGATTCAGTGGGACAGCCTCCAGATGAGGTAACATTTTTGGATCTATCACAGACTGCCTGTATGATCCAGATCAACTATTAGGTTAAGTTACCAAAGTATTTAAGCTGTAATTTTTTAAAAACTTTTATTCTAGCATTGGTCTTGTTGGACTTGGTACAGTATGCAGAATGTAAGACAGAAAAATAGGTAGCAGAAGGCTAGTAAGATGATCAAGGGCTGGAGCACTTGTCCTATGAGGACAGAAAGTTGCTTCTTCAGCCTGGGGAAGGGATGGCTGCAGTACAGTCTGAAAGCAGACTGCCTGTGTCTACAAGGGGGTCACTAAGAGCTGAGCTGTTTGAGAGACTGTTGAGAAAAATACACTCCTTGCCATGGCATCCTTAGGTTTCCCTTCAGCTTTAATTATTCTGTGGTCTGTGATTGTATGACAAAATAAATACTGAAACAAACTTTTTTTCTGCTTACTAAATTAGTCATTTATACTCATGTACAGAGGCTGGACTGACTATGAAAAAGGCTTTGGAAATTTTGTTTTGACTAATGGTGAATATTGGCTTGGAAATAAGAATCTTCATTATTTGACTAATCAAGGTAAGATTGGTGTTGTGATAATAGTTTTCTATTATTCTATTCTATTATTTCTGCTCCTTTTCTCTTTCCAGGTCATCTTATTGTTAGCATGAATCCTGAGTTGTGTTTGTTAGTCTGTATGAACTGTAGTTTAAAAAAAAATTAAAATATTCTCTAATGAAAGCTTGAAAGCTCTCATTGGACCAATTGGATACAGGGCGATCCTTCAAAACAGGGAACAGTAGTCAGGAGCATACCTTAAAACAACTCTCTACCCATTTTGCAGTCAGAAATTTACATGACTGCATATGGTTTTATGTGAAGGTAAATCTAGGCTTCTCATCTTTATTAGGCTAACATTGAAAAGCTATTTCAATTTTTCTAATAGTTACTCAATCTACAATAACTTGCTTTCCTATAGAGTGCTGAATATACAAAAGCTGCCTATTGACTTAACCAGCTAATATGCATGGAGATCACTGCTGTGATTGCTTTACTTATACCGTATATTAAAGGTAGCTCAGGTCTGTTCAAATATGCTGCAAGCTATGCTTGTCTACAATTTATATTGCAGCATAGGTAAAGGCTTTGGGACTCAAGGAAGTTTACAATGTTAGATCAGTGTAGTGGGAGATATATATATATATATACATTCATTTCTATTTCCACTTACATATATAGGACCAGATTCTCAGGTCCTGTAAATGGACATAGCTGCTAGAATCAGCAATCTCTGAACGCTTACACCAGCATGTGATCCTGGTTTAACTCTATTTTCAGAGTGTAGAAATACTGTTTTCTTAAGAGTATGCGTATTTATTGATTCTCACTCTGATTTCATCACTTTCAAATGCCTTAATAAAACATAAAATTCATAAGGCCTTTTTTGTTTACATGCCAAAATCTATGTTAGAATAAACCTAAAACTTTCTAAGGTGAATTGTGTGAATAAAGAAAAACATAGCAAGATGTTACTTCAAAAGGCATAATGAAAGAAGATTAAAAGATATGATACAGATAAGATTTATACTAAAAACATAATTAGTATTTTAATATTCTACAATAATACTCTGTTCTGAGAAGTAGCAAGATAGGCTAGTTTTACAAAAATATTTTCTATTGTTATTTCTTAAGGAAACTATACTTTAAGAATTGATCTAAGTGATTTTGAAGGAGAACGGCGTTATGCACAATATACAAGATTTGGAGTTGCAGATGAAAAGGTAATAAAATAGTTAATATGACCGGTGATTTTAATGAAAATGTGACTTATATAAGCAGGTAATAAACATACATGTGCCTTTATTTTCATAAAGATTTATGCTGAGCCTTGTTAACAAGTATTCTTTATTACAAATGGTTGGGATTTTCAAGTATGTCATAATAGTGGTTTATATGGATGTACTGATTTCATACCTTGTGGAATTTGTATGAATCATTAGTTTTGGCAGTTATGGATGCAAGCAGTTTTTCAATTGATATTGTTATTATCAGCAATAATGGTGCATAATTTCTCAATATGTACTCTAAACCAACTAATAGCTTTTATTATTTCTACATAAAATTACAGAATGCTTTTTACCCTGGTAAGCATCTGTATATTCCTTTATTCACTAGCACAGTGTTTCAGTGGCATGGCACTCCTGGGCACATGAATAGTAGCAAATGGAACAAGTTAGTTTCTTTGCAGATTTATTCCCCGACATGCTGAAGGCACATTGGATTACTTTTTTTCCTTCTTCACAATTTTCATTAGCACTCCTATCAGATGAGCTGTGGTGAATACTCTGGTACAGCTGGTGATTCCCTAACTGGGGGGTTTCATCCTGAAGTAAAATGGTGGGCTGATCATTGCGGAATGAAATTCAGTACTGGAGACAGGGACAATGACAACTATGAAGGCAATTGTGCTGAAGAGGAGAAGGCTGGTTGGTGGTTTAACAGGTATTTTGATTTTACATCTGCATTTTCTTTCTACTTCACTTGTATTCATGCAATATCTGCTAGAAGATAAGTAGAAATCAGTATTTATTATACTTGCAATCTGTCCTTGACCACTAGCAGACATTCCAGTGCTATTAGGACCGAGATTCACTTACTGCACTGACCAAGCTTATCTATGAAACAGTGTTTGTCATAGGCTTTGTCATTCTGTTATCAGACAGTAAGGAGGAGACAATTCTGTCCCTTCAAGGTAACTAACATTTACATAAATAGGTCATGCAGATATGTTCCTGTTGTGCTTCATTCTTGTATTTCTCCTGTGTTTCACTAGACCAGATGTGGCAGTACTGATGAATAGCTGATGTGTTAAGCTAGTGTTGGGTTAACAAGCTATATATATATATATATATATTTTTTTTTTTATCTGTTAACACTTCATTCTTGTTGTTTCTTCTATATCAAGATGGGAATATGCTCACTCAGTTTCTGTCACTGCACACGACTGGACTGAGAGGAGAATAATTTTAAATAGGTTTCATTAACAGAAATTTTAAACCCTACTTACCTATACAATAGCAATTCTAAAAGGAAGACTAAAACTGATAATGTTAGCGTCATATACATAGGCAGTATTGTTTCACATACTTCACATACAAAATACAGCCATATAATATATGAACAGAAATGATCTGGGTAATAGCCTTAAAATACAGCTCAGAAAAGCACACTACTCTCTCATTCTGATCTCAGTTCACTGGGCAAAAGCTGCCAAACTGAATCAACTCCATTGTTTCTCTGTGTCATCCTTTGTTCCTGTTTAACTGCTTATTTTCCAAGTTCTGTTTCCATAAGTTGTCTGTGACCAGCACTACTGATACTAAGTAGCTCCTGGCTCAGAGTTTCACAACTAATAATTTTAATACATTTTAGGGGTAGTAGGTTGGCAGTGTTTGAGGCATACAGAAAATATTCACATGTAGTCAAATGTTCTTGCAGTTCTCATGAAAAATAAGATATCAAAAAAGGGGAAAATAAACTGTGGGAAATACTTTACTCAAGATATCACTGTATTTAGAGGAATCCACACCTTGGATAGTATAAAACTGTGATACCATGACATGAGATTTATTAACATTGAATAATCACCCACTCAAATGATTTTTTGTCTTTTAAAAACTTAGTTTTTTAATACCGGATTGGCCTGTACAGAAGAATGATCTCTCTGCAGAAGTAGCTCTACAACAGAACTTGACAGTTATTAATACCTTGTAGTTGGTGTTACATAACTACTAAAGATAGCTGACTCCTACCAGGCTAGTTCCTATTATGGACGTGTATCTGACAAAGTTAAAGTGACAGTACATCTAGAGAATGAAAAGTAGTAGTATCTTGCTGTTGACTTTATGTTAAGCTTAATAGAAAACTGAAAGCTGCAAAATATTAGAGAATTGTAGTAGACTGAAATCCTGGCAGGCTCAAAGAAAAGAAAGCACTCAGAGCACAAGTATGTCATGCACAGATTAGCAAACATAGAAGAAATTAGTGCTCTTGGCTGGTTTGTGTAGGAACTCCCGGTTGTGAAGGTATTTTGTTGTAGCCAGCTCTATGCTATCTACCCTGATGAAATATAGAAACACACACAGATAATATGAATACCAACAGATGTGATACAAGTGAGGTGTAGAAAATAGCTCATATCTCTTGATCCAGCTCTGCATTTATCATGGACTCCTGCAGAGAGAACATTCTTCTGCACTTGTTTGTAAGCAGAGATTTCCAGCTTGGAATTCACTGTGCTAGGTTCTTTCTGGTACTACACTCAGCTTTCCTTCTTCCAGGACGATGCAAAGATCAGTAGGTTTAGAACTGCCAAGGAAGAGCTTACAGGCCCATGTGGGCATGAGCTCATTCTCTCTTCAGCATTCCCAGTTTTAGTTGCAGACTGCATGTATGACCGCAGTAGACTTGGCAGACATGTGGCCACAAGTCTCAATCAGGCTCTGTGTCTCACCAATCTTCTGAAGACAGTGTAGCTACATTCATGTAGGGCTGTGCTGGAGTCAGTAAGTCCAGGCAGAAATTTAAATAATTCTTCAGGGAACAACTCCATCTATCTGTATCTGTCACAAACTTTATATATATAAACTCGGATGAAATTTCGATGGATAATTGAGAGTTGGCTGTACTTCTGAAACTACTGCTGTAGGGTTTTTGGCTTTAAAAGTTAGCCTGTTGGAAAGAATGGAGGTGCTTATGCTAATGCTAAGTTTAAGGTGACTACTGACTTTTTGCTTCAGAAAATTGTATCAGTAGTCACGCCAACTGCTTTTGCACTACAGCCAGTTACTTTAGTCTGCCTCCAGACTCTTACAAAATATATTTTTGCCATTAGTGCCTCCTAGCACTAATTAAGGGTTATTATGGTCTCACAGTACTGCTGACAAAATCAACTTCTGACTGTTTCCATCAAAAGAAGTAAAAGAGGATTTACTGATTACAATTCTTCTAACAAAATCATTTTTGATTTGAAGTGTTTAAACAAAGTGCTGTCTCAATTCAGAATTTATATGGCTAGAAAGATTGTAAGGTCTGATACAAGTTCATCATTATTAAAACCAAGGTCACTTTTGGTATCTGTGATTTGTAAGCTTTCAACCTATTTATTAACAAAAATAATTCTAAATTATAAGCACTGAGTATAATTATAAGCATTCATGTATGAGAATTTTCCTGTGAGGCTTTTATCCCTCTATTTCATTTCTCAAAACTGTTGCTAATAAGGTGTAAGCAAAGCCAAGATTTGCCAGTAAAAATATCCATAAGCTTAATTTGGACTGTTTTGTTTTAATGTTTTCTGAAGTCTGCTTTTGTAATACTGTGGTGTCTGACAACCAGATATTAACAACATAATATTAACAACACTTATGACAAAATTTTGAATTGGCAGATAAGTTAAGATTTATTGCAATGTGCTGCAGAAGAAACAAATACTTTGCTCTCCATATGAAGACATGAAAGTGTAAACTTACTCATTTGGTTTCTACAAGAAAGTAGTATCAAAGTTGAGCTGGTAGCTAGACAAGCCTTTAAGAGTTTTGCTAGGTTGGCTAGTTTTGTTCTCAGCATACTTAACAACCTGTAACAGCATTTCTGTTTCAGTATGTTAAACAGGAGTTAGTTCAGTCAAATAGAATACCGGTTCTGATGACTCATGGAAGTGGTATAGATCTCTTAAACTAGCTGTGAGATGTAATGCATTTTTAAATAGAAATCAACAGTTTGAAAGGCAAACTAATGGTGGTATTCATGTTTTGTCATGTAACACACTATGTATGTAACTGCACAACATCAGAAGGGCTGCCCTGGAACAATAATAAGCAGCACAGCATTTCTTTCTCAGAGTATTTCTTGTAGGCTTTGCTGCTACATGTGACGTAAAGGATTCTGGAATTATTTTTCATTAAGACAGATTAACAAGCAGAACCTGGAGACCCACTAAGTTCAGAAAACTTGTAGAACAGAAATAACTTTTGTTTCAAAGATGTTAAGAGTACTTGCAATTGTGCCCTAATTAAACTGTTTGTGTGTAGGGGCAATGCAGTCCACAGATGTAAATCTCTGCAACTGTCAGACTGGGCTGTTACCAACATAGTGAATTTCTTACTTGTGGAGAAACTGAAGTGCTTGCAACTTTTAGATGGGATCGTATTAATCTTTTCTTTACTTTTCCACCAGGTGTCACTCAGCCAACTTGAATGGTTTGTACTACAAAGGTCCCTATACTGCAAAGACAGACAATGGAATAGTTTGGTACACTTGGCATGGGTGGTGGTACTCTCTGAAATCTGTTGTAATGAAGGTCAGACCAGCACACTTTGAACCAAATATTGTTTGAATATTTTATTAAGATTTATCTTCTGGCAAATGGATCCAAAGTAAAAACAGATGGGTTATTACCTATGTCTATATATATCTAGAGTAATTCCTCTGTAATTAATAGTTTTCTGAGATGTAAATGAGAAGATACGGCTTGCCTAGGAGGAAGGATATCTTTATCAACATGGAGAATTTATCTTGAAAGGTAACTAGAAATCCTTTTACTTTTTTAATAGAAAAAATGTATTGTCACTATTATGTCTCAAAAATTAAAATGGATTGCATTGCATCCAAAAAGGCAATTTAAATAGAACCTTTAAGTTTAGCTTCCTTGTGGAAGTAGCTTCTTCAGAATTGTAGCAATTACAATCGATACAATGGGAAAGACATGCAACAGAAGTGTCATGATGGAAAGACTGGCACAATAGAAAGGTGCTATAAAGGAAGGGAAGAAGATTCTAGGTTCGCGGGGGAAAGCTTCACCAAGAAGGGATTTCCAGAAAGGGATCCTTCCCCACTGGCAGTCAGCCCTTAAATGAGGACTAAGAGAGGTGCAGCCAGGCTCAGCCCTCCTGGTCACAGAGCTGAACTGCCTTCACCTGTGCTCTCAGGGCTGACTGAGTCCTTTTCCCAGGTGCTCAACCAGTGGTTCAGGCTGTGACTCAACAGTTCCCATACAAGAACAAATCAAAGCTTTACAAGAAATTGGTTGCCTGTAAGTTCCTCCAATTTATTTGTTGAACATGTTTTGTACATAGCATGCATAAAGAATAAGGGAGGAAACTGGAGGAAGGGAAGGGATCCCATCAGCCAAGAATCAGTTGAATTTTTAGAGGTGGTCATATCACTTCAATGTAATGTTTTTTGATGGTTGTAATTCTGCTATTCTTCTTTTTGGTAACCAGATAGATATTGTGGACACTAATATATTAACACCTTTACCAAAAGGCTGTGACTATTTTTAATGTAAGCTATGCTTTGAGTGTAGACTATCATAATGCATAGAGGGAATTAGGTTTCACGTGCAATCTAAAAATCTGGTGTTTAAAGGTTCTTAGTACTTTACTCCATAAAACTTTTCTTTATGTATTTGTTAGTCTCCACAGCTCTGTTTGAATGCCCTTTTCAATCACTAAGTTTTTATGCTTCCAAGCTTCTCCTTTTTCTCAGTTCTTCTCTTGGCTATCTGGGCCTTTCCTGTTCTCAAGTTACAGATCCATGTTTTCCTTGTACAACAAAAATTGTAAGAGAAACTTTGCCTAGCTGTAGCTTGGGTGCCTAGCACAAGAACAGACTGTAGCAGTCAGTAACAACAAAAACAACTGATGAATGTATGCTGCCATGGAGAAAAGCAGGCACATTCTGTAGGAAGCTACCTAATGAAATGTAATTCTGTAACTGGAAGGAGCCTGACCTAAGTATGTGTGCATATATATAGATATGCATATATCCAGCATTCAGTATTAAATCATTATTTTCAAATCATGCTGCTATAAAAGGAGGAAGATTTAATTCCTTGTAAAACCAGGGATGACATTATGTAGAAATTGTAAAAGCTGGAAAGATTGGCTTGTTTGGAGAGTGTTAAGATAAATCATATAAATTGAAATTAAAGACAGACTTTTACTAACGCGTGAATTGCACTTAAGTAATCTGCAGCAATACTTTTTGTTTGCTTCAGCATAAATTCCTCCTCCTCCTCCTCCTTTACTTACGAGAATGTTAATGATATCCGTCAGCTGAGTGAGTACTTTTCTCACATTTTGGTATAAAATTTTACTCCTTTTCTTTACTGGATATCGTAAAACTAAAGAGGAAAAAATCTCTGTGAATTTTAAAATGCATTTGTATGTTTATTTGGACTGGATACTTTTCAGGACAAGGCCTTTGACATCCTACCTAGCTGTTTGAAAAGCACCTCATATACTGCTGGCAGTACACAAATACAATATTTAATTCCTACCATCTCTCTGTGGCCTTTCCTCATGCAGTGGATCATCTTGGCTAAATGAAAAACACGTGAAAGAGATGATGTAATTCAAAATATCATAGTTATTCTCAAATACATGAACTCTTTACTTTCAACTAATGAGTATAAACAGCCTGACATGGGCTGTTGGTAATTATTTCCTTAACAGGTATAAACTTGTTCTAGGGGAATCATTATTCTTACAAGATGGCAGAATAAAGGCAGGTTGTTTTTGTTGTTGTTGAGGCATTAGACAACATAGTAACTCCCAAACAGTTGAAAATGAATAAATACCACTTGATATAAATCTTATAACCCTAAAGAAAAAGAATCAAGGATATAACAAGTAAAATATTTTGTCAGTGGTGATTTAATAATGAACAATGTGATCAGAAGTGCATCTTGTAACATTTGTTCAAGAGAAATATAATTGTATTTTCAACTGTCTGTTTCTTTCCATTTGCTAAGCATTTTGGAGATCAAAACAATAAAAACTGTAATCTAAAGAGAATTAAATGAATGGCTGAAGACCCTTTTATGCTATAGCACTTGTTTTTAAATGTCCAGTGCTAATAAAGAGCTGAGGCACTAAAATCTGGCCTACTTATTTCCAGTGGAAACTTCAGCTCTACAGCATGGGTTCCCAAAACTGTTCCTAACACAAATTCTTGAACATCATTAAGTATAATGTTCTGTTCTGTCAAAGCTGTTTTTCATTGCTTTTTTTAAAAAAATAGCATGCTCAGAAAGACATCAAAAAGAATGAACATCTAAGTTTGTATACTTTTTTATTTTTAGCTTCAGCAGTGGGTTCTCTTTTGCACTTGTGAAAGAAGCATTAAGAGCAAAGAAAGTATCCAGGAAAGTATTCTACATCTAGATTTTCAAAAGTTTCCACTTGTTTCTGTCTTGTTTTCTTGTTGCCATTGCTTAGAGGAAAAAAAAAAAAAAAAAAATGGAGCTGTTTAAAAATGATGGTTTTCCTGAGTAAGTCTGGTCTGAGAACAGGGAGCTAGCAGAGTTTCAAGCATTCAGCCAAACTCCATATGCAATAGAGAATTTAAATGTACAAAAAAACCCCATTACAATTCTTGTTCATTTTCATAAGAAGATTAGATAAATCTTGATGGTGACAGTGGCTTGAAAACATAGTATTTCATCCAAAAATCATCCTTTCCAAGTCGCTGTGGCCCATTTCAACCTTTATTTAGTGCAGGATGAAAGCCAGCTTACATTGCTTACATGTTCAGTTAACTAAGGCAATTTAAGGCAATTCCTCTTAATCCAACCCTAATGCTAAACAGATTGCATCAGAAATATAATATTTATCCAAATATTGATTAAACAACCCTGGAGCCCAATTCATGTATTTGGTTGCTTACAAAAGAACTGATACACAGACCTTGCAAAAAGAAAAACCCAACCCTGTACCTTGCTCTTTTCTGCCCTTCAGTGATTTGTAGTAACTGTCTGTTTCTTTAGCTTGCCTCCTATTGAATCTAAACTTCCTTTATTTCTTCTTTTCTTAATTATAATCAAATATTTAATCTTACCCATGAGTCATGACTGCTGAATACCTGGGCTTAAGAAACCTGGGTAATACTGAGATTCTGCAGAAGCTGAGCAAAGGCTTTGAGGTGCTAAATGGTGCACCTAAGGAATCTAAAATGGCAATTAGGTCGCTAAAATGTTCTGGGAATCAATGTCTGGTTTCATTTAGAACTAGATGGACAGTATTTATTGTAATGAGAGTATCCATCCAGCGCTATGGGCATGAAGATATGCAGATGCTTCTTAGAAGTATGTCATTAACACAGAAGATTACCTGAATTTCAGTGCTTCCAATTTTGTTGCTATGAGCTGAAGGTCCCCAGTTAATTACATTGCCAGAAGAGCCACAGGGCTGGCTTTTGCTTCAGCATGGTGGTCCATAACAAATTAGCTTAATGAAGACAAGTGGTAGTAGAAAGACTTTGTTAGTGATATCTTGCACTAGATGGTGCTCTGTACATGTTGCATTTTCTTAAGTAATACTACATTTGTAAATTAGTATTAGCACTTCTCCCCATTAAGTTATGTAAATAAAGTACAGGAAAACAAATCAACGGTGTTTAAGTGAATGCCTTCCATTTCAAATGTAGATCATATACTTTGCTGATTAGCAGACAAACAAATCTGCAAGTTCCAAACAGTACCTAAGCTAATGTATTTGTACTTCTGTATTCCTGCTATGATTCTTCTGTTCTTTGTTTTGAAAAATATGAAGAGATCCTATCTCAGCTACTGTTGAATTCAATGTTACCTTTCTGGAGTGGATCCCATCTTTCTATTGTAACATAAATGGTGCATTTGAGTGCTCCTCGTGATCAGGTGACTAAGAACTTGTGATATCAGCAGGATAAAGTGAGAGTGCCTGTGCCAAACTGCAGGGAGAGCAGAAATGCCATATATCTACCTGGGAAAAGCACCTTCTGAAATCAATCAGGGAGTACTCAGCAAATGCCTTATGTAACTGCTATGAAGTCTTGCAAATCTTGCTTGATAGGCTACTATTTAAGTTACTATTATTAACGCTTGCAAAATATACAAACATTCTATGTTGTGATAATGAGATTTTGAGTTTCCTCTTTTTTTTTTTTTTTTTAAATAGTTTTGAATGATACATTTTAAATACGCTATGGAAGTTTCTGCAGTAATTCTTATTCAAGTTGGTTACTCCTCTGTCACTGAATCTTCTCCATTTCTACTATGCAGCATGATTAATTAAAGATGTCAGTGCAGTTCTCATCTCTTGCTGCCTTTTCCTAACAAGAGACTTAACAGCTTCAGAGGTGTTCTTCCAGAGGGATTTGATTTTTCTTTTTAATTTTCCTCTGTACTTAGTCAAAGGGGTAGAGAAACCAAGCTACTCCTAAAAATTCTAAGCAAAAGGTTTTATAGTAGTGAAGGGCTTCTTTTTTATGTGTACGATTGGAAAAAAAAAAAGTCAGTATTTGCAATCCATGGTAATTACTTGAAATTCTACTTCATTTTTCTTTGTAAGTCCCAACAGTAAATGAAAATGTTTGAGCTTTTAAAGCTGGAACAGAAGTTTCATATTAACAAGATACTAACAAGAAAATAAACATTAAAGCATTACATACTGGATGCTTATCCAGTCACATAATCTGCAGTTTGATTT